ACTGAAAAAAAAAAATAATAACACACACATATCCTTACTATCCTTACTTCCCTACTAATATAATAGAGGTGAAAGTTTGTATGTATGTATGGATGTTTGTTACTCTTTCACGCAAATACTACTGAATGGATTTTAATGAAACTACAATAATATAGCTTATACATTAGAATAAGACATATTTCATGTATATCTGTCTTTCTGCTGTCTGAATCTACAATCTACGCCTTCAGCCTATTCTATGCAGACGTAGTCGCTGGCAGCAGATAGTACTATGTACTCGTAACTAGTGATGTGCATTAAAATTGTAGATCCGCTGATACGGATTCGAATACGGATCTTAACTTAATGTCTAGGACGGTGGATACACTGATTATCCACCGTCAAATTAGGTTTTATTATTTCAGAAATTGATAAAAAAAATGTTTCAAGTAGCTACATTTTTACGCCCACGGGCCAAAGGAATAAAAAAAATGCTTACAACTTTGGAAAATGAATTAAATGTCACAGCAACTACAAAAAGTACTAAGAACAAACCAAAGATTTTTGCCAGAGTCTAGAAGATTCTATGGCTATGTTACATAGTGATGACGATGATGAATATGATATACGTCATATATGTCAGAAAAAAGATTATCAAGAGAGCCACGATCCACTAAAGTATTAACAGTAAAATTCTGGAGGTCTCAGTCATACGACTTGACGGTCCCATTGGCGGTAGTGAACCTGCCTCTTGCGCCAGAGGGTGCGGGTTCGATCCCCACTTCTGGAAAAATATTGTGTGATGAACATAATATTTTTCCAGTGTCTGGGTGTCTATAAATGTATAATACGTATTTATTTACAAAATAAAAGTATGTTTAAGTATAAATGAAACTATAAATTTTAATTCCCGACGTTTCGAACCCTTTACAGCGTTCATGGTCACGGGACAGACATGTTTAAGTATGTTTATCAGTTTTCTAGTATCCATAGTACAAGCGTTGCTTAGTTTGGGGCTAGAGAACGTAAAAATGTATCCGAAAATATTTATATTGCTCGCACATATTCATTTTTTTCATGATTTTTGGGGGATACAGCTGCCAAGTTACTCTTTTTGAAGTACAATTTACCATTTCTTTAATTGGCACTTTTAATCAAAAGTTAACACTTTGAGTGTCACAGTGTATTAATTTACTTAATTGGAATTATCATTTTATTACGATTATAAGGGTAAAGATCCGTAAAAGATCCGCCAAAAATGTAGCGGATACGGATACGGATCTTTTTTTCCACGGATATCCACGGATACGGAAACGGATATCTGGAACATCACTACTCGTAACAAAAAACGTACCTGGCTTAATAAAATGTCTGACTTCTGTGTTGGTAGCAATTTAGATCATTTCTTCTAATGCAATCAAAGATTTCCGCGTCTTGGCTTTTCAACAAAGAGAGTCAATTTATTAATAGACACTTTCTATTTCTATTCTTTATATGTTTAAATTCGATTCTACAATGTTTCTCACATGAAAATATGCGCTCCAACATTTGGGCTTGGGCTACAAATACAGTTAAAGAAATAAGTGAAAAACCAGTTTTGACGTAATATTGGTAGGTGCCAAGATTTGATGAATATGAAGAGTATGATTACATCCCTACTATATAATATTATAAATGTGCATGTAAGCTTGTTTGTTACGCTTTCACGCCGAAACTATTCAAACGATTATCATGTAACTTTGTGCACGTATTCTTAGAGGCATTAAAAAGGAAAAAGGATTCTTTTTATTAAAAAAAATATATTTAAATAAAAGATATTTATTTAAGGGATTCAACGCGCGCGAAGGCGCGGGTACAAGCTAGTATAATATTATTTTTATATCGAGCATTGCTATCAGGGCGCTTTCTTGATCGTCCTTGAATTGTGAGTTGAATTAGATCACCCAAGAGGTATATTTAAGAACTAGGTGTTTAACTATCAACTCCAAGTGTCCTAAACATTATGCCCTGCGCTCTGCATTTTAACAAACAGCGAATTGGCTGTTGTGAATAATTTTTGCCGAATGAGTAAAGGATATGCGTAGCTTTGGCCAAGTAGCTATAATGTCGCTAGTCCTGTTAGGGGTAAACATGATCTTGTGAAAATGTCTCGGCGTTGACGTCGCGCAATTACTGAAGGAAATTCAGGTCGAACTATAGGACGGGATGCACCTCTGTGGTGGCGGCGGGCGTACTCTATACCGCTTGTATCGATCTCGGGCAAACGGCACGCTCATCTGCCCCCGCGATGCTATCCACCTTTGGAAATATTATATATTTGCTTCCCCGTTTGCCTTTTTCATTTCCTCACCGCAAACAGTTAATAACTAGAGAAAAAAAAATGGGTCATATTTTAATCTCAGTTGTGTATAACTGTCACCGTAGGATAGCACATAGTCAAGTTTTGGAATAAATAAAGATATTAGATACAGATACTTTGTTTACGATTAGATACGATATTAGATACAGATATTAGATACTTTGTATCGCGTCATGGTCTTGTTAGGTGATGAGCAAGTCCATTAGCTATGAAAAAGTTTGAGCAATGAAAGGGTGGTGTGGTTGATGTAGTAAGCCCCATAACTTTATATTTTTCCAACACCATGACTGCGCGTCGTCGATATTATCACAAATGATTTATATCGGACTGAGCAATGTAAACGATTGTGCCTCATTATTGAGACAGCATTTACCTCAATAACATCGAGCCTAGCAACTACATCGAAGTATAACGTTGATGTCATAAGAATCGGTTTCGTGGAAGTATATAGGCGTGGAACATAACATAAGAAGTTTGTTTTTGTGCGATTTCATTTCTGCGAACTGTAAGAGCAAGATAAAATATTAAGTAGCGGAATTTTTTTATATTATCACTTACATATACATTTGAAGAAAAGGAGAGCTACAAAAAAAAAGAATATAAATCACGTGATAGCAATGGCACATTTTGCTGAATACATAGCGGTATTTAATATTTATAGTGTTTTTTTTTTTTTTAAATTATTTTATAACGGAACTCCGACCACAAAAGAATAATGTCGTGGACAAACATAATTCAATATAAAATGGTTATCAGAGATCACAACTTGCAATACAGCGTATCGTTATATGTCCAAAATAATTTCAATCATTATTTTCTCATAGGCGGAGGCCTATGTTCAGCAGTGAACTCAAACAGGCTGAAATGATGATGATGATGATGATTTTCTCATATCCTTTATGATGAAAAATTCATTTAATAGATTCCCTTTTTTGTCCTAATCAAAATATATTCTTTGATTCAACGCGATGATGTTAAAATACGTATGGGTTCTTTGTACACCAATTTTCTATTGCCCCCTTTATTTTTAGCAATGACATACGACCGGGCAGGCGAGGTTGAGCGAGTGTCATCAAGTGTCACCGCTCTTGACCTGTTTAAATGAAGCGTTGTTTAAGAAGATTAGCAATTCCCGTACATTCGATATTGAAGTCTCTCCATTCTTTATAATTTACGAGGATGAGTAATTTATTTAAACTCAGTAATTTAAGAACGTGTCGACAGTTAATAAATGAATAATACAATTTTGAGTACATATTTTTGCAATATTTTCTTCTATCTAGTTCAAACTTAGCAAAGATTGTGACAAACATAAAAACACAAAGTTTTTCGTAAGAGACAGATTCACTATTTACAATGTCAACAAGTTGAGGCCAAGGCAATTTTATTCAACAAAATGGCGGCAACACATACAAATTTATCGTTTCTGTGGTGGCTGTGAAAAAGCATCTGCCATCTCCTCCCGTGGGTGCTCTGAGAGGGTTTACGATAAATGCTAGAAATATGCTCGGGCTTATGTTCGCTATTACTTATTTATTTCCATTTACAGAGGGTACCAAAAACAAAGCGTTTGTATGCTATAAAAAATATTGCTGTAAAATATTTCTTTATTGGAAAACATCAACTTTATGTGAATGCTTTTGTTTATATTTTTTTTTTTCTTTTTATAAAAACATTGCCCTTACTTTAGGATAACATTATCCTCTGTTGTAAGGACGTTTTACAAACGTAAATTTCACGCGGACAAACACCCAGATACGAAACAAATATCCGTGGGTCACACAAATTTGTCCCGTGTGGGAATCCAACCCATGACTCTCGACGCCGAAGCCAATACCTTGGCAACTGCGCCACGGAGTCATCATACTTACACCTTAAAATTCTGTGACTCCATTTTCTATTCAACACATGATACTGTGACGACGATAACTTTAGTCCAGCTGTTTAAGCCAAAAGAAACCCACGCCGGCAGGTGGGCGCATTGTCCGAGTCTCGGTAAAGTTTGATATTTTCGCACGGTCGAAAAGGGCGGACTATTTACAATGGCGATGGACATCGTTGTGAAAACTTTGTTACATCGTGTTTTGCACTTTCTGTGCCAACTCTGGCAATTGATGCTGTTATGTTCTCGAAAAGAGGAAATATGTCTCCTTTCTTCTGACCATATCCCGCCTAGGTGCGGTCGGCTCAATATGTGGATAATTTTTATTCTTCCGTATCCAAAGGGTAAAACGGGACACTTTTGCTAGGACTTCGCTGTCTGTCTGTCCGTCTAACACCAGGCTGTATCTCATGATAATAGTACGGAACCTTTCGTACGCATCAGACTCACACTTGGCCGGTTGTTTTGTTTAACCTTTAATTATTTATGTTTATTAAAACATGTAGAAAAAGTACGAAAAGATTGTCGCCGCTGTGGGTGTCGAACCCACGTCTTTGGCAATCGCGGCCTGACGCTCTAGCCACTGAGCTAAACGGCTGATAGCCACAGCGACGAAAATCTTAACGCCTTCTTTTAACGTTGTTATTTAGCATTTGAAGCTTCAAATGTTAAATAACAGATCTTGCAGAGATTAGCGCTATAAAAAACTTTAAAATTTATTAGTGTTTATATGTAAAAGAAGTCATTCAACACACGCCTAACCCATTGGACATTCATCAGGTACAAGGTGGAGGTGGCCGGCAAGAGTCTGCCGGTCCTAACGACACTGGACAAGTGGGCGCTACGGCGTCATCGTGTTCGAGTCGCTCTCGAAGTACGCCAACATGGACAAGTGGAACAGGGAGCTGCTGGACAAGTACTGCCGGGAGTACTCGGTGGGCGTCGTCGGTTTCGCGACGCCCGGCGAGGAGACCCTAGTGGGGGCGCAGCTTAAAGGGTTCCCGCTCTTCATGCACACCAATCTTAGACTCAAGGTATTAAAAAAATAATCAAAATCATTTATTCACTGACATAAAAAACCACCGCTTCGTAATGAGGTTCCTCTAACTGACAAGAAACAGGCGAAAGAAACTCCATGGGTATCCTCTTTTTTGTAATTTTTTTTTACAAAATTAAAATGTTACAGCTGTTTTTTTTTTCTTTTAGAAATAGCTTGGGAGCGATCAATTCATTCCCCCCCTGGGAATTATTGTCATTAATGTAATAATATATATTTATATATGTTAGACTCCGTGGCGCAGTTTCCAAGGTATCGGCTTCGGCGCCGGGGTTCGTGGGCTCGATTCCCCCACGAGACAACTGTTTGTGTGCACCATTGATAATTATTTCGGATCTTAATTCCTTACGACATAGGATAGCTTTATCCTACTATAAGGGCTAATGCTTTCGATGGAAAGACGCATTGGTCGTTGGGATTTCGTACCTCTTCCACAAAAAATACAATGCAATACAAGACTCAGGTAAAGTTGACTTTAGGCTCACTGTAAAAATATTTCAATTTATTCTATCAATTTATAAGTGGTGATGTCGATTTATACTTACCACTAAAACTACACAAGACGTGTAAAATATTTCTTATAAGTTTAAAGTTCCTATGGCATATTTCGATTGATAGTATTAAAGCTGCACTTTAATACTGTTTAAACTGTAAACATCACTGACTGTTTTACAAGTGCAGGGCCGCACTTGTCAAAATAATCAGTGATGTTTTTTTAGCATTTTTAACCCCCTCCACCGCCACTGGTGATACGTCCTACTACCCACAGTCACATGTATTTTACCTACAAAGAATCTTAAAATTTTTAGAATGTTATCATTTAGCCAAAATAACACAATAACTGGCGACTGGCGAGCCGAGCCGGGCGGCCGTCGCGGCGCGCGGCGTACGAGCAGGCAAACTACACGCCGCTTTTCGGTTTAGAAATTGCGCGTGTGACGAAGAAATAAATACACATGATGTCTTACTACACCCAAACCTTGTGATATTCAACAGGACGCCACTCTGAACTCGGCGTCGCCGGTTCTGCGTCTGTCCCGCGCCGGTGAGACGGCGTGGGGCGCCCTCCCAGGGGAACATTGGACCGTCTTCCGGGCGAACAGTACCACGTACGAGCCCGTCGCGTGGGCCATGAGGCAGAACGAGTACGGCTCGAGCGGTGAGTTTGAACGTGAACAGTCTTCGCTGTTCCACCAATGGACAAGTCCGCCCGGGGATTTGGCAGAAGACCGGCGTGAAATGGATGTGATACTTCTGCGTTTCGTCTGTTGACAAATCTCGGCCCCCTTATTTTAAGGTCGTCAACGCGTCTGCAAGCGTTGGAGATGCCAATGAGCGGCGGTACTCACTTAACATCCGATAGCAACGTCTGATCGCTTGAAAATTTTCACATAAGACAAAGCTTAGGCGAGCGTTTGTTTCGCCGTAACGACAGACGACGATGAGACGACGAACACCTGTAACCGCAGTTGCAGAGCAAAACGTTAAAGAATTAATACTTCACAACCATTCCTGCCTACTGTGAAGCCCTGATATACATTCAGATAGAACTAGCCCTGCTACTCGAGTTAGCAGGAGTTTCGATTTTTCATACAATCTAAAATTAATTACAATTACCAGACTACTTGTACAGCAATTAGGCCGTCAGAATTTCTTGTATTAATGTGTTTGCTAATTATTGATATCACACATCCTTATGGTTGCCGATTAACTAAATCGCACTCTGAAGCACAATTAATTCATAGGCAATACGATATTTACATAATTAGTATATAATTGGGCGTACATTCTCTTTTAAAAATATGATAATATACATTATATAGCGTCAAGTAAAGTAACCTCAAACATTCATATATTTCCTTCAATACATCATCCCCCAGACAATACGAGACGCTCCGAATGCACCTTCTTTGTTCGTAAAGCCTACTGCGAGTCCTTTAATCGGCTTTTCTGGTTTCTTATAACATACATTTTTCCATACCCCGCCTCACAATACACGCGACGAAGGCGATTTTTTATTCTTTTGTTGTTTTAACGTTATTCCCCATAGTCGAAAAAGCTAGCTCCGTAGTCGGTAACATCCAAAGCCGGAAGTTTCTTCCGCCTCCGCGTTTCAAACAACGTAGGTGTAAAATATTCCGCACACTAGAGATTTCCTCTCACGGTAAAATCGCAACTTTGCCTTTGGCCGGCTGTGTTATATTTTTCTTTGTTTGTCCTTAAATGCTAATGCTGCTAACGTTTTGCGGACGCATAAACTTGTTCACCGTATGTTTCATTTAATATTACGCTACGTTTTAATTTAACGAATGCTTTAGTACTAAAATTGTGCAGCTGTTTTTAAGCCGAGAGCATCATTTTACTTTTCATGTTTTAAACTTTTAATTATTATATCTATTGAAATAGACAAGAAGAGTTAAGGCATCTCAGGACATTCTACTTTACTTTTTAGTATGTCATTGTTTTACGATATTTGTCATCACGATTTCACTATTACAGATTGGGTATTAGATAAATAAATCGAAATATCACGCCATAAGTACCTCATTTCCAGGCTATCTTTTCTAGATGTGTCAATTTGAACTCATCTGAAAAATACTACTGGATGGTTTTCCATGCTCTAAATCTTATTAAATTATATCGTATGCTTGTATTCTTAAAAACTGAGCTATTATCTAGTTAATTGTAATAAGCTCCTATTTACTTTTCAATCCTTCTCTCTTTCTTAACCTCCTATTTTCTATCTATGTCTCTCCCTACGACAAGTATGAATTTTCTAGTATTAGTATGTAGTTGTATGTCTTAATAACGTTTGAAGAGGTAGTTGTCACAGTATAACTAAATCATTAATTCCGCACAGAAGACCGGGTACCGTTGGCGACCGTGATCCAAGATCACGGAAGGTTGGACGGAGTCCAACGGGTCCTTTTCGGTTCCGGGCTGCAGTTTTGGTTGCACCGTCTGCTGTTCTTAGACGCCTTGAGCTATCTGAGCCATGGACAGTTGAGCCTGAGCCTGGACCGGTGGATCCTTGTTGACATTGACGACATCTTTGTCGGTGAAAGAGGTACGTTGATGGTTTTACAAGTTACTGATACTTAACTATTTAGGGACCTATAAGATATCAGCTTAATCCTTAATGAAAGATCCTCTGGTGATGCAAGTGACAATGGATGGTGGTGATCACTAACCATCGGAAAATCCCGCTTACGACCTATTCAACTTAAACTGAATTTTCAATTATAACGTTAGGCACTTATTTAAAAGGCAAAAAAGTTACTTGTACAATGGATTTACACATATGTAAATGGATTAGCAAATGGAGTCTCATCTAAGGCTGCTTATAGGTTGCAAGTGCTTTCACAGGAGTCAAACGACACATACCAGAAAAACAGGTTTTTTTGTTGCGCCAAGCCACGAATTCGTTATGAATTTCGAGTGATCGCTTACAAAGTTTTTGTAATCATAACATCGAATATTATTAATGATTCCAGGAATATATTTTCAAATACGCCTCGTTTCGACATGTTATTAATTCATAGAACTTTAATAATAAATGTCAAACGTGTTGTTTGAGGAACCCACATGCTACTGTGGTGTGCCTACCTTTAAATTTTAACACTGCTAAATAATTGTCTAAGCGTACAAAAGTAAATGAAATTAATGGAGTACTGTAGACCTGAATATTTAATTTTAATTAGTTAACTGTTGAAAACCACAATGACCTTTTATTTTATCTGTTTAGTTGATGAGTTCTTAGGAATAACACCCTGGGTGCTCAAATTATTTACCGCTTTTGCTCATGCAAGTCGGTGTATACAGAATCATTTCTGGATACACCGATTTAAACTTTCCCTACAAGCCAGTCAGACAAACCCTTAAAGAGATTTAAATTATAAAAAACGCAGTAATATTGCTATGCTCTTCAAAGTATAATGCGTGGTAATTTAACCGTCTTTAATGCGTTCCACGTGAAATTTATGTAGGTTAAATGTCCTAACAACACAATAACACATAATGTTATCCCACAGTTATGTTTGCCAGGTGTAGATTACAATAGATCTTCTAGGTCGCAGTGATCGTTGGGACTTACTACCCAACGCCATCCACACAAAATACAAAACCGTCTTTAATTGGCTAACGGCCCGTTTCAATATTCTATCTACAGATAGATTTGGTCGCTAACGATTGGTATTTGATATTAGCTCCGTAATACTTACGTCAAAGTTCTATCTTCCGTAACCAAATCTATGTGTATATTGAATATTGAATTCGCCCGTATATGAATAATAACTGACGAGGTCTGGCTTTATTTTACAACTATAAGGCACTCGTCTCCATGAAGAGGACGTGTCGGCCCTGCTAGCGTCTCAAGCCGCTCTGCAGCGTCTCGTCAGCGGGTTCAGGTTCAATCTCGGCTTCAGCGCGAAGTACTACCACCACGGGACCCCACTCGAGAACCGTGGTGACGACGCCCTGTTGCGTCACAGGGAGCATTTCACTTGGTGAGTACCTCTGTTTGGAAATTTAATGTGGGTAAACAAATAAAGTATGTTTGTTCCGTCGAAGAATAAAAGTTAAGAAAAGCATCCTATACATGTCCCACGGCTAGGTAAAGGCCTCCTCTGTACAAAAGGTGTTAGGGCATAGCCCACCACGCAACGTCACTATCGATTGGCAGACTTCACATATCTTCGAAACATTTTTTTGTCATTATTACGAAGATATGCAGATCTCCTCACGATGAAAGAAAACTTCACCGTAGAGCACGTGACAAGCCAGCACTTACAATTAATAATTTCTTTGGTGCTGATACCGCGATTTGAACTTTCTTGAGTATAGTGAATTAAGAGAGCCCGGACACAGAAGGATCACGCCGGTCGAAAGATAAGCATTTTATAAGTATAACGGTGGTAGGGCCACGCAGCAGCCTCGGCTGTTGCACGAATGGGCAGGCCCGTCCGGGTATGTACCACGACCTCACAGAACACTAGTGGAATAAAGTGGAAGTATGACAAATACTTTCGCGTTTCGTCTGGTGAGTGAGGTAGCCGGAGCCCAATTTTCAAAAGGTTGTCAACGCATCTGTAACCCTCGGGTGTAGCAGATGTCCATGGGCGGCGGTATTCACTTAACATCAGGTGACCCGTCTGCTCGTTTGGCAAATTTTCGCATAAAAAAAATATAAGTAAAGAACTACAACATGAACGAAAAATGGTGGCTGAAAGTATGTTTGTGTTTCCACTTGTATGGGTCAGTAGTAGTAAGGTCGGTATGCTTAGGTAAGAATGCGTTCAAACATCTATAATGTTCATGGATGGACACTTGATATATTTAGCTGACATTTCACTGTTAAGCACAGATGTGGGAAATTTAAAAATACCTAGTGTACATATAATAGGCGATAAAGTTATTTATTTAACTGTTGTGCGTAATATGTTATTCATATATTTATTTCAATATATTGTGCTAGTAGCAGATAGTAACGAACATTAAAAACACGAGAACAAAGTTTCGCTACTGATTTTATAAAAATGTAGGTGTGCTGGGTATTATGAAGTTAAATGAGAGCTTATGAATTAGTTAAATACGTTTAAAGGGTTGACGGAAGTGTTGGTGACAAAAACAGTACCCACAAACCGCAAGTGTGCCTAGTTATGAAAGACGCGGTTAAGGTATGTAAAGATCAAGGCAAATACACGAGTTCATTGAACTTGCACACCCTGTTAGTTACAGTAGGGAATTTATATAAATGTTTGTGGGTGTGTATAACTATTTAGTTTACCTATATTTTATTCGAAAATTATGCATTAGACTGCACCACAATTGCACTCAGTTTCTATCCTAGAAATTTTATCTTAAATAACGAGCAACCCCGCCTCGATAACAGCTCATTTGTCACGCTAGAAGATTGCTATAAGCCTTTACGGTTTGATCTATTTATACAGCTGTACAATATTCTTACGATTGTCATTCTATCGTAGACTGTCATATTGTTCCACCCACGGCGATCGTTCAGTTTTATTTTGAGACTGCCTGTTTTATTATTCGACTGCCGACGTAACGTTTTTTACGACTTGCTAAACTTCGACTCAAGTTCATGCGAAAATATGGCTGTGTTTGCTACAAACAAAAATCTATCCTATTACAATACTTAACCAGTTGTTCATTAAACCGGTAGTTACGAGTGTTATGCTGAATATGCCTATGATCCTTTTATTGAGTCACGCGCGCAGGTCACAAACGTTGCTTACGCGTATTTAAGTTTTGCTCATGCGAAAATGAACCTTACGGTTTGTTAATAAATCACAATTTGTTAGAATTGAATAATTTATCAACACTTCCGTCTGCTTTGAGCATGTTGTAAGCCTCTTAGAATTATTGCTCTTAGAATTATTATAAATTTATTTACTCGTAAGATACATAGTTGATGTCTGTAAATTTCAACTTTAATATTTAAGATTCCTCGAAACTACGGAAGTGAACGTTGTAGGATAGCTTTTCGTATTGAATTAATTTTTAATGAGTGTATGGTAACAAATTATTTATGAATACTTCTACGTACTGAGTAATCGCGTAATTATTATTCCTTATAAAATGGAAAAATCATTAAGTAAAAAGTAAATCTTTTTTATTCTGTTTTTAGTGTTATTGTTATAGCGGCAACAAACATACATCATCTGTAATAATTTCAACAGTCTGTCACGGTTCATGAGATATAGCCTGGTGACAGACGGTCAGACAGACAGTCAAACGGACAGACAGTGCAATCTTAGTAATAGCGTCCCGTTTTAACCTTTGGGTACGGATCCTTAAAAATTACCGCCCCTTATCAGTTTTGTCTTATTTCTCAAAAAATTTTGAGTCAACAATCCACGCTTTTATTTCGAAATTTATGGATATTAAACTTTCAGATTGTCAAAACGCTTTTAGTGAATGTGGCTCCACCCAGACTAAATTTGTTGTTTTTATGTCTGATATATACCTAGAAATGGATAAAGGTATCGACGCGGTTTATACTGAGTTCAGCAGTGTCTTTGACAAAGTCAACATCACGATACTTTTCAGAAAACTTGAAGCGGTAGGTATAGGCCTACCGATGGGCAGAAGCGACTGCAATTTGGTAGTGTATAATGGTTTTGAATCGGATGAATTCTACCTGCAAGTAGCTGTTTAAAAAGTAGAAGCGGATGACCCTCTGACAGCGGATGATATATTTGTCGTGGCGAGATATTGGCCAAACATTAACGTTTTGACGTATATATTTCTTATAATATACAATATATTACATAAAATTTGTCGTTGCCATTGCATTGCCATTTTCATTTTTTACTGATGTAATTCAACTTTGCACAAATATTATAAAAGAAATATTAAAAAAGTAACATGTGGTGGTTATCCTATAATCTCATCTCAATTTCCGGATGAAAAGCATAAATTGTGTAAAATAAAATACTTTCCGTCAATCTAAATGACTTAAATATAACTGTCCCGTGTCTAAATATTTTGAATGTGCATTTTACTATCTAAAAGAAAATAAATAATCCAACATTTCCACAGCTAACATTGAATTCAGAGAAAATTGGGCGAAAAAGTTTGCCATTCCAACCATTATGGCTACTGGCTCGTGATAGTTCATTGTCCGGGCGCTCGCATTTAATTCAATAGATATACTCCAGCAACCTGTGTTCGATCCGCGGTGCCGGCACCATCGAAATTGTTAATTTATCACGTGCTCAACAATGAAGGAAAAAATCGTAAGGAAAGGAAACGTGCATTTTTTCGAAATAATAACAAAAAAGATTTAGATTATTTCGAAGATGTGAACTTTAGATTATTTTGTGGACTGTACCCTCTGTACAGGGACATATTATAAAGGCTGTCACTTTACTTTTAGTTTACTACTGACTCGTATATATAACAGTCACACCGATGTTCCGTCAACAGGTTCTGCCACATGTGGAACCACCAGCAGCCGCACCTCTACAGCAACGTGTCCCAACTGGAGGCGGAGATGATGCTGAACAAGCAGTTCGCCATCGAGCACGGGATCCCGACCAACTCGTGCTACTCCGTGTCGCCGCACCACTCCGGCGTGTACCCGGTGCACGAGCCGCTGTACGAGGCCTGGAGGAAGGTGTGGGACGTGAGGGTCACCAGCACCGAGGAGTACCCGCACCTGAGGCCAGCCAGGTGATTGAAATGATTAACAAACAAATGTGTCTAATATTTAAACTGGCTGTTATCCGTGGCGTCACGCCTGCGGCCAAAAGGAGTTGGCCAAAACAATGAGTATTTTTTTATTATACACCAAAGTATCTCTATAGCAGATGGCTGAATTTTTTCCTACTTAGTTGACACTTATCATTACCTATATTTTAGACAATTCACACAATATCTTTATAAACTATAGCCTATGTGTTATTCTGATGTGTAAGCTATATTATTGTAGTTTCATTAAGATCTATTTAGTAGTTTTTGTTTGAAAGAGTAACAAACATCCATACATACAAACTTTCGCATTTATAATATTAGTAAGGTAGTAAAGAAGGAAGGATGACTCGGTGGCATCGTCAAGCTACTGCCTTCGGCGTTGGGGGTCGTGGGTTCGATTCCCATACGGGACAAGTATTTGTATGACCCATAGATAATTGCTCCGGATCTGGGTGTTTTGTTTCCCAATGTGGGTTTACTCTTCAGGCAGGCGGCCGTAAAGTCACGGCCAAACCGTGATTCCAATTTACATATTGTGCTGACCCTACCTAGGTGGGATAAGGGCGGGAGAATGATGATGATGATTTTAGAACCTTAAGTCAATAATAATTACCGATATTTTTCCCTTGGCATACCAACCACCGATGTTAACGGCTACGTGAATATTCAAAGACGAACAAGGCGTTTTTGTCACGGACGGCCGCTTCCGTGCATTTCTGTGAAATGTTAGAATGTTTGTCTCGCGGTAATGGTATTAATTAATACTAGAAGACCATAATACCAGTTAGGGCAGCGGCGGCAGTAGTTCTTGCGGCGAGCGGAAGCGGAATGGCAGACTGTACCGGGTACTTGCATAAAAAACTCGCTCGTAAAACTTGACGCCGAGCGAGCGAAGCCACTGGTAATGGCCGTTCGTAGGGCAGACGGAAGGAAATTAATAAATATACGATACGTCGTCGACGTTGGTCTGGCGGAATTTTACAACAGAAAAAAGTTTCGTCAATTTTTAAATGATGCTGTTGTTCCACACAGTCATTACATGTTCTTATTTATTTTATTTATTTTTAAAACTAATGCTTAAACTTAATGCTGACAGCGTTTTCTATACGTAAATGTGTATGTTCTTACCTTCCAGTTTCCTCTATCAGCGGTCATTTTGATTCTCACATTTTTCACAAACATATTGTCTTCAAATTTAGTATGTTCGTAGATTCGGGGGCGAAAAATCAATCTAGCTAGGTTTCATTTTTAGAAAATGTTCTTTTATCCCTGTTTTCAGGGAATGAAAAATATCATTCGAATAAGACGGTAAATTTCGCCGAAAAAAAAATGTTATAATAGCTCGAACGGTGAAACAGAAGGCCATGGTTCGTGTCACGATCATTAACATACTTATTTTTTTACTTTTTTTCGATTCCAGATCATTGCTTTCTTTATTTTTTGTCCATCCAGATGATTTTGTCTCTCTTCCCTTTTTTTTTAAAGTTCTTTCTTTTGTGAAAAACACCAGTTCATATCTTCTTATTATTACGTCAGTAAAATCGAAAAATATAATGCAAGTTTCATTACTCGGTAATTTGTATCTAAATGTAATTTCCAAAACTCACTATTTACCCAAAAAAAAAAAAAAAAAAACAGGTCCTCCAGGTACTTAGTAATATGTCAGATTATGAAACGCATGTTTAGAGAAATATTTAGGTTATCGTATAATGAACGAGCATTTCATATAAGACCTTCATATCCTAGAATAATCTGTGAATTATGCGTAAGCGAATTTCAAATATGAATACATCCAAAAAATACAGTGCCTTACTAATTTATGTTTATTTCTTATTAAATAGAACATTCAAATCTCATAAAAGCACACAATAGACGTACCGTTGAACTTTTTAAAAACCATCATCTGGTCTATAATGTTGATCTTCCTCTTATAGTTTCACATCAAAATGAAAGGACAATACTAGTCAGTCTCGTTGTATATGTTCTTTATATTTTTCTCATTCTAAACATTTATTTAATATTCAAAACACGTTACAATACCAAAACGTGTGAACGAATGACACACGGCAGCGTTACATTTATATAGATTTACGACGCTCATAAAACGGGCTATATTTATATGATAAATCATTACACCGAAATGGGGCATTTTCTTCCGTAAATATTAAACAAAACCGGCAGCGAAATTGTTGCCGGTTCTTAAATTTGTTTTGTTTTTCTAATTTGTTACTTAAAATTTATTTTACAAATAAAAATTGAAGTTGATATTATTTCACGGTAGGTAAGGTAATCTGAATATTTTCGAAATAAAAAAAAAATATTTCAAAGATATTATGTGTAGACCGCCAATCCGCAGTGGGGCCGCGTGGCGGACTATACCTCGATGCCCTCTGCACAGAGGAGGCAGTTTCCCACCACTGGGATGTGTATAGGATGTTACTTTACTTTATATTGTGTAAGGACCTAATTCGCGAAGTAGATAATGAACCACCTATCTCTTGCGCTAGAGGGTGTGGATTCGATCCATGTGGTAAACATAGTGTGTATATGTCTATAAAACGCATTCGTCTACAAAAGAAAAGTATGTTTATGAATTACCTATAGTGTCCATATTACGAAATGCCAGTATCAGTATTCTTATTCGAGTATAATGTAGGGGTCTTTACAGCATGACTAAAAGGATTCTGTCAAAACAAGTCAGGCTCATTCTTACTTCCTTACTTATATCCTTACTATAATATATCCTTACTAATACTGTAAAGGCGAAAGTTTGTATGTATGGATGGATGTTTGTTACTCTTTCACGCCAATACCACTGAATGGATTTTAATGAAACTTTACAATAATATAGCTTATACATCAGAATAAAACATAGGCAATAATTTATATACATTTTTTTTACATAAATTAATGTCTTTCTGTCTAAATGTTACGCCTTGAGCCTATTCTACGCAGACGTAGTCGCGGACAACAGCTAGTGGTTAATAAATCTATTAAATGATTGATGAACCAGTTTTCAAACGCTTTATAACATTTTTATTTGAGTTATTTTACAACAGTCAATAATATAAACTGAGATAGCTAATCGTTTAATAAGTAGTAGTGAGTAGGTCATGTTTATAAAACGAAGTTTTTTTTTCCTATGATAACACGAATCGTAAAACAGCTACGAGATAATTTGTGGATGAGTAGTTCACTTTATAACAGGCGGTGTTTTTTTCCTACGACAACACGGGAATACGTCATACAGTCCAGTGCCGAATTGAGCAACTTGTTTTAATTACCCGATAAAGACAATGCAACACAGCGTGTGTCGTTATTTAATCAGTTTTTGGGACCGGGTCAGTATTTTAAGCAAACTGTTATTTAAATTCGATATGAATGTGGCTAATGGGAAAGGGTCATTTCGATAATTATGTTGATAACATACATGTAGATATGAAACATCTAAATTGTGTACGTAGGTACACACGTGTTTTTTTTTAATGTTTGTTACATCTGACCTCAGCGTTTTATGAATCGATATACAGGCGGTTTACCTGATGTTAAGTGATTACCGTCGCCCATGTACATCTACAACACCCGAGGGTTTGTAGATACGATGACAGCCTTTTAAAACGTAATCCGCAATCAAATATTTAAGTTACCGCCCTTCACCTGTACATATAAAAACTTCCAGGACGTTCACTGTACTTATCCCTTTAACCACGCTGATATTATAAATGCGAAAGTTTGCGAGGAAACGGGTTCTGTTCCCTTTTAACGCCGCCATTTTAAAAGGATTCGAATGGAATTCGTAATGGAACCAGCTCATAAGCTGGATCACCGCACTATTCACTCTCTATTCTGTATCACTCAGCTATTTTATAAAGCCAAGTGATAACCGATAACCTTACTAATTATGCTAAGTGATAACCGCCGTCCATCTGCCACATCTTCTTAGGGTTGCAATAGCGTTGCCTCCTTTTAAAAAAGTGTACTCCTGTTAAATCGCTCGTAAACGAAACGCAGAATAGTAAATATTTGTTTCTACCAATAGTTGTACCAATACTGTCGTTTTGCTTAAGGTTGATAACAGTGAGAGACATAAAAAAATATACACTGTGTCGCCCAAACTAGACGATGATGCCTGTATCTTGGAAGCCGGAAAGTAAAACACTTGCACTCCACTCCGGTCTTCTCTGAAGTCGTAAAACTTCACCGAACTTTCTCGTTTGGGCGACAGCAGAGAATGCTTCGTGGCCCTACAAAGAACAAAACAACCTGCAGCAAAAGAAGTTTGGAACGAATGAATAATTTATGGCCTTTAGCTTAGTAGTTAAAGCGACTAGGCGTGAATCCGGAAGACGTGGGTTCGATTCCCGCAGCGGTGAAAAGTCCACAAATTTTAATGTTTCATCTTAAGTAAAAAAATTAGCACTATAAAAAATTAAAAAATTCAAATAGAAATGGCGACATCTCTCGTTCGAATCGTTGTAAAAGGATATTTAAAATTGTTTGTCTGCTGTAAAGCAAATAACGATACTACATGCGCCTGACACAACTTAAAATTCGAAACAACAATGTAGATAAAATACGTTAAATTGTTGGAATCAGCCGTTTAGCTTAGCGGTTAAAGCGTGTGGGCGTGAATCCCGAAGACTCTGGTTCGATTCCCGCCGCGCCGAAAGGCTTCCGTCCGTTCTTTCTACGTGCTTTAACGTTCGAGCGAATAATTTCAAATGTTCTATGTGTAGGCTGCGCCGGGGTTTCCGACATAGGGGAGTGATGGTGCTCCCGCGTCAGACGTGCGGCCTGTTCACGCACACGCTGCTGCTGGAACGCTACCCTGGCGGGAGGCAGCGGCTCGACCGCTCCATACAGGGAGGGGAGCTGTTCCAGACGGTTATCAACAATCCGGTGAGCTTGGACGGATCAGTCCAATTATTTTTTTTGTAACTGTTATTAATGCTTTCAGTCCCGACACTATAAAACCTTCATCGAACGCAGAACCGATGGGCTGGTTGGAACCCACCGGTTTGAGGCCCTCCACAGTTGGTAGGGCCACTGGCTATCGAGGTTCGGTGCGCACCGTGACACCGATAGCCGTTGATTGTGCTTGGTTTGTCGGTGGCTGGGAGCGGTGAGAACCGCGCTCAATGCTGTCACAGTTCGAATGGACGCTGTATGATGAAGTTTCAAACGTATGCAAATTAGTTTGCATGTGTTACACTACGCACATTTAATTTTAGAAATCACCTGCTCGACCTAGGTTTGTCCTTTTTTTTCTTTAAAATCGTAATTTTTTTCTGTAACGTCTAGCTCAGTGCCCGGGCGCTTTCTTATAATTCAATATACTCTATAAAACTTAGTTTTGTTACCTGTGCTCGCACCGCTTATTTCGGCAGTATATAACTTATATCAACAATTCTGACATCACAGATCGCGCTGATATCCGGAATATTTTGAAATAATTTTAATGACCCTATAAATATATAAAAATTTCGCATTCATATATATCAATTTGTTTTTTTTCTGATGCCGTTTGTTGTCACACAAATACAAAACGTACCAAAACTCACAACACATGATTTTAATCATTCCAGATCCCTTACTTGCAATGCGGCTATAATACCGCTAGTTCATCAATGTAGCGTTTAACATCATTGGCTTCTCGTTTTGTGTGGTGATAAATTATAATTTGGAAATATGTAAAGCAAAGTTGTTGACTCGAAAACATTACAGTGTGGAGTGATAGGATCGGGAACATTTTAGAATGCCAAAATGTATGTAGGCTTTCATAAGTTATATTGTCAAAATAAGCGCCGACACCAATAAAATTGTTAAATATATAATATTAAAAATTTATAACGAAGGAAAACTTATCTGTTTTCATAAGAAGAATAAAAAAGGCGATTAACCCACTGTCCAGTGTTTACCGCCGCTCATGGATATCAACAATGCCCGACGCATGGCTGATACGTTTACACCTTTTAAAGAGTGAGCTCTGGTTTCCTCACTCGCAATGTGAACCGCAGAGGTATAATAGTTGCCAATAAACTGACGTCATCACTTGAACAATACCGAATGCTGTTATACAATTATTCCTGTGTTTTCAATTTTGTTCAAGATCTGTGATAGTTCAGTGTCCGAGGGCTCGCCTTTAATTTCATATACTCGAGCAACCTGAGATCCCTGGTGCCGGCAACAATGAAATTGTTTATTTTAAGTGCTGACCGTGCACCGCGGACCTATGACCACGTGATAGGTCCGCGGTGAACGAAACCATCGTGATGAAACCTGCATATTTTCGAAAATGTGAAGTCCGCCAATCCGCAGTTGGGTCGCGTGGTGGACTTTGCCCTAATACCCTATGTATATAGGATGCCTTTTCCCAACAGCCGTGTATGTGTAGCCCTTGACTTTTTTTTAAATTTTGTCACTGAATAAAATAGGGATAGGAAAATGTACTCTTTTAAAGTTACACATAAACTTTTTTCGATCTCCGTGACACATTGGTCCACCCATATCCGTGTCAACGTGATATATCGATTTTGGACGAACCCAAATCAAACTAATGTTGTCCTGCAGCAACATTAATCCGTTTTTGTTCGCGACTAGAGGGCGAGTGTCCCTCCTCTGCGAAAATGTCACGGCTATGGTGACGCGCAGTCATTCGTACACCATTTATTACAGGGAAAAACGCACGAGGAATCCCGTATGGTTAGACCACGTAAAATTTGGCTACGGTAAAAATTAACGGTTAGACCACTAAAGTTAACTAACACGTCGTGTACAAAATTTCCACTCCCAATCGGATATAAAAGTTGCTCTTTTGACACATTATATATTACACTATACGTTAACTTTTAACACAAAATTATCATGCTATTAGTTATTGAATATTGAAATTAATCCGGACACTGTGACTCTGCCTTATTAACATTTGCAATTACATTCCGCTTCGTGCTTCCACACGGAACGGACGTTACTCTGAGCCGGAGGGCCCATGCCAACCGACCCGGAAGCCATTTTGCAACCGTTGTTGCTACTTATATTATTTCTTTTATCTCTTGGTGTGCACTGCTTGCCTCATCGTTGTCGTGTTTCGCGGTCTACGGTTAGGGAAGTCTCAAGCAAGAAGAGTGAAGAAAAGTTATAGAAGAAAGAAGAAACATTATAGAAGAACGAAGAAAAACTTTGCCCGACTTCCGAGCGGATAGTGTTAGTGTAGTGTTGTGCTCGTAGGCAGGTTCCTGTTCGTAAGTAGAATTCTACACACATTTCTCGTCTCAGAGGCGGCATTGTAATTTTTACCTGTGTGCTTGTTGCATTAGGCGACAGCTAGGTACTCACCCTAGCGCACCTAAAGCGCAGGCGATTAAAGGTTAATTTTAGGCACACACCTCCCTGCCGCAAGGTGGGGAGGCCTATTTAGTAAACCACACACCGGCGGGGCGCAAGCCCCAAAGGCTCAAGCGTCGACATGGGTTCCCTCATAGAGGAATTCCTGCGTCAAGAATGCCCCGAATTATGGGTAAAATATTTGAATTTCGCGAGGGAACGACGCATCGTCGTCGACTTCTCTAGCGACAGTCCGGCTTCACCGGCTGCCGCCTCGCCGCCATCTCCGGTGCCCTCTGCGCCAGCTATTGTGTCGCCCTCTGCGACTATCGAAACGTCCGTCGCGTCGACCTCCGCCGCCGCGATCGATCCTAACGCGCCTTCCGCGCAACCAATTTCGGCCCCCTTCCGCGCTGTCGTTCCCGACTCACAATCGGACGGCGGCTCAGACATGCAGGTCGAAACGACCCCCGCTAACAACGCGAACGCCGACGGCTTCACCGTCGTCAAATCGCGCAAAAAGGGCAAGAAACGCCCCGCTACGGACAGCGACCACGAAAGCGAGGCCGCCCCGTCAAACCGTCTCACCGCGACGCCCGCCAAAAAGGCAGCCGCGACTGCCCAGTCGAAACCGACATTCGCCTCCGAGCGAAAAATCAAGCCACCGCCGCCAATTATAATCCAAGAAAAGGCAAAGTGGCATCAGTATGTTCATGGTTCGAACGCCATAACATACGAGACCCCCGGTCCAAGAATACGCATATGGGTATCCGCGTATACCTCGATTCTTCGGACGATTTCCGCCGCGTAACGAAATACTTGCGCGAAGCTAAGGTAGGTTTCCACACCTACTCACTACCCGAAGAACGTAAACTTCGGGTCGTAATTAAGGGCGTCCCAAAAGAGTCGGATGTCGATATGGCTAAGGTCGACATCCGCACTCAGGGATACCCTGTTCACGCCGTGCGTCATCTCAGGCAGCCTCGCACCCGTGTCCCTATGGACATGGTCATGGTGGAACTGGACCCTTCCCCGGAAGGTAAGGCCATTTTCAACCTTAAGAGGGTCTGTGGGCTCAGTGAATTAGTCATCGAGCCCCCACGTAAATTAGGTGTTGTGGCACAGTGCCACAACTGTCAACATTTTGGCCACACGGCCAATAACTGCTTCGCTCACCCAAGGTGCGTCAAATGCACCGGTGACCACGGCACAACCGAGTGCACGAGGCCGAAAGATTGCGCAGATCCACCGGACTGCGTAAACTGTCACACAACCGGCCATCTGGCTAGTTATAGAGGCTGCGCTAAGGCCCCGAAAACTCCCGCGAGAAAATCTCCGGCGAAGTCTACGTTGCCCAAACCCGCGCCCGTTACATACATTCCCGAGCCCGTACCCGTCACAAACGCCTGGGCGAAACCCCAGGTGGCCGCGCAGGTAACCGCGCCGGTCGCCTCACGACCGATCGCACAACAGCTGCCCGCCTCTCAAACGGTGCCGCGGCCGCAGGTGCAGCCAACTCCGTCAGTTTTCGCGGAAAACAAGGACGCGCAATTCGCATTCGCGCAAATCGCTAATATTTGCAGCTTACTTGATAGAATCAATAGGCAGGAACTCGCCGTATTGTCCGCTAAAATAGCGGCCGCCACATCTGGCTACGAGCGTCTTAGGGCAATTAGCCAACACAAAACGCTTGTGGAAGCCCTTTGGGCTTTTACGAGCCAACCATAAAAAAACAATAGTCCGCGCAATAAAACCGCGCTCCGCCGCGTCGTTAATTAGACCCATAAAAACACCTTAATGGGAAGTACAACCGCAGGTAGAACAAAACCTCGGGCTCTGGTTGTTTCGTATTTCAACGCAAACGGCATAAAGGGTCAAAGGGATGAAATCGCGGAATTCCTTCGCGATTATAACGTAGATATTTTCCTAGTGCAAGAGACATTCTTGAAACCTAGTGTACGCGATCCCAGAATCGCAAATTACAATATTGTCCGCCACGACCGGTTAGCAAACCGTCTGGGAGGCACACTAATTTATTATAAACGGTCCTTGCACTGTTGCCCGCTCGACATTCCAGAGCTAAGTCAAATAGAGGCATCCGCGTGTAGGTTAGCGCTCACCGGCCACAGGCCGCTTATACTAGTCTCAGCCTACCTCTCGGGGAATAGAACCCTACTTCAAAGCGACCTAGATACGCTTCTTAACTTAGGCCCTTCCGTGATAATTGCAGGAGATCTAAACTGCAAACACGGCTCATGGGACACCAACAGCATCCCAAATAACAACGGAAAGCATCTCTTTAGCTTATCCGATAACCTAAATTTTAGTATAGTCGCTCCCGCGACTCCCACTAGGTATCCTACGGTGGACAACTACCAGCACGCGTCACCGAGTGTCCTAGACATAATGTTATTCAGGGAGGTCTCGCTCGACATCGAGTCGATAGAGACAATCCATGAACTAGACTTTGCAGACTCCCGACGATTCGCGAATATTTTAAAGACCTGACCAAACGGTTCTTCGATAGAGCCGAACATCATCCCAACCCTCTGGTGGTAAGCGCAGCAAATTACCAACCCGACACAAACGCGAACGTCAACATGCGTCGCCCGCGAAACGTCCTCATCGACCGGAAGGGGACTTAGATACGCCGGACCCACTACCGGGGGTCCCGCCGGACAACACTACACCCACAGTTAGTGCAACAACAAACACACTAGTTCGCCCTCGCCTCCGAGCACGGCGAGACCAACACAACGCGTACACAAGGTACACCCGCGTTCCAGGGCGGTTCTCACCTCCCCCAGCCACCGATTATCTAAAAACACAGTCGACGGCCATCGGGGTCTCGGTCCGCACCGCAACTTCGATGGCCCTTAGATGACATGTCGTAGTTAAACGCACGCATGAGCACATGCGCGGCCCTACCCACAGCGGAGGGCCCAACCTCCTGGGTTCTGGCTAGCCCACCGGTTCTGCGTCAGATGAAGCTTTAATAGTCTCGGGACTGAAAGCAAAAACATCAGTTAATACAAGATTTGCAATTAATACTTAAAATTTTATAAGTACAATCAATGAGCTCAGTAGTACAACACCCTGTGTGTCTTTAATTTGTTGCTGTCATTAGATAATAAAATCACATACAATAACTCTTTACCACGTTTCATTCATTAACAGAGATGAACGTTCTTAACTGTTTATTTTGCTTGCCTAAGTTTTGTATAACTTTTGTTTAGTAAATTTCAATAAGCAACAATCATTGCTTTTCAAATGGCTTTTTAATACGTTTATTTTTGACTAAACCTATCCTCTACATAGTTTTGTATCAAACGCTTTGTAAAATTGTTCATATAGTTGTTGTACGCCCGGGAAGCGGACAAAACCAAAACTGTCGGAGCAATTATATGTTAAAAAAGGCCACGTACCTGTTGCACGAGGAAAACGTATAAAAGAATTGCGAGTTGGGCCAAATCGTTCCATTTAAAGAAACAGTGACGCGGGCTTCAATGCCCTTCGCCCCCAACTTTCGTGTTAAGCCGATTGAACGAAAAAAAAATTTTTTTTATTGAAGATATTTACATGATGGATATGGAAAGCTTGCTTTCGGTCAATCGAAACTTAAATATAAACATGATGTATATTTGTATTAATTCTCAGAGGTGTTGCTTATCCCGCCGAGTAATTTTACAAAATTAACGCTAGAAACATCGTTCTGAAGAACAGTTAATGGCAAAAAATTTGTTTTAAATTTAATATTAATAAAGAAGCTATTTACAACCTGAAGTCAATTCATTGCTACAATAAAGTGCGGAATATTCGCAGGCATTAATAAGTTTTATTTTTAAATTAGTGAGCAATTATTCTCCAAATTATTATAGTTTTTGTAATGTCGTTATTTATTTTTAAGTATAACACTCGCTTCCAATGGCACTTTATTTTTTTACATTGCCAGTTCTTCTCACTTTACAAGTGTTATCTTTTAATTGCTCCACATAGTGCATGTTTCATGTCGGATTCTTACGACGTTATAATATTAAAATATGTTCATGTTTAAGGCAACGGCTCGTCTCCAATATTGGAGACGATTCTATAATATAGATAGCATAGAGTTATTACAGTTGCGTTTCTGTTTAGGTTGATATGTTTTATAATGGGATTTCATGATGATCAAGAATATTGTATGAATATAAAGTAAATCTTTCAAGACATTCACAGCATGAAGAGATTCCATGGATTATCTTCTTATAAATAATGATTGTCGTTCTCTATGCAAAAAAAAACTTTTATAAACACTTTAATGAACACTTAACGCATGCAAGAGAATGATAGTACGTAATGTAACTTAGGCGTATCATAATGTCTAATCATAAATGAATTAGAGTTCCCTGTAAAAGTCCCAATTCCCCGATGCCTGCGTCCGTTGCAGCTTTGCGCAGGGCTTTCGATAAAAGCGAAAACACTGCGGTGAAGCGACTAAATATCAAACCTGTTGCGTGTACAATACGATTGTATCACATTCCCTAGATCAACATCTTCATGACGCACATGTCGAACTACGGCAACGACCGGCTGGCGCTGTACACGTTCGAGTCCGTGGTGAAGTTCCTGCGCTGTTGGACCAACGTGAGGCTCGCCTCCGCGCCGCCCCTTGCCCTGGCCAACAAGTACTTCCAGCTGCGGCCGGACGAACTAAATCCGCTGTGGGGGGTAAGCGCTCGAATCGTACTGGTTTTTTTTATGTGACAAAGTGGCAAACGAGTTGGCGGTTCACCTGATCTTAAGTGATAACATAACATTACAGACATTTGCAACACCCGTAGAGTTGCAGATGCGTTGCCACCTTTTAATAAATCGGGCTCCGGCTACTTCACTCTCCACAAGTTTTTTTTTGGATTGTTGCAATCTTATGAAAGAGCTTATTTTACGCTGTTTGTGGTTGAGATACACTCTGCAGAAGTCGTCAAACTGTTATGGAGCAGAAGACTGCGCGGTTTAATATCATTTAGACTTTATTATGAGGGCTTTAAAGCTATTTTTTTAAACCGTTTCTTTCATTTGTCTGATGACAAACATGGCGGACACTGTACGAATGATTTAAATATTACCGGCAAACTTAACTACGCGAACTCAAAACCTTAACGTAAGGTCGAAATTAAATTCACGACATGAATCACATTAACATGTCCTTCGGACTTTTTATATATGCAGTTGAGGAACTTCGGTTCTGAGGGCGGTTCCCCGCACCTCTTCAACTCACTTTGTTTGTACAACTTTGAAAAAAGTTCAACCGACTTCAAAAGTAGGAGGTTCTCAATTACACTGTATTTTTTTTTACTTACACTGTACTTTATTAACTTTCGACTGAGTGAATTGATTTTGACATCTTAAATAATGATTAAAGCGGTTTGTGCGGTCCTTCGTTGTCAATCATTGCAGCCTAAACTGGAATTAGATATAAATGTATAGATCTCTTTCTCATTTTTTCTGCGTTATATCTTTCTTCTTTTTCTTGGAACGAAATGCGCCTGAACATGACGCCCCTTTATAACTTTACTTCCAAGTCTCGTCCAATTATCGATTAAGCGTAAAATTTTGTTGTGTTGTGTTTCAAATAAGAATTCCTTACTGCAATTTCAAGAATTTTTTGTAAAATACCGGCACTTTGAATGATAAATGCAGTTCCATTTTTATGTCACTCTAATAACAATTTTCGAGAGATAAAGCAAACTTGTCCTGATAATCTGGCCGATTTATTTTGTGCTACAAAGCGTCTTATCCTATATTTTAAATTATGGTCGGACGGACGAGCCTGTCCATTCGTGTATATGTGTGTAATAATGTCCCATGTGTGTAATAATGTCCAGTTTTATACAATTTATATTTTTTATATAGAAAATAAATATAATAATTAGTATTTTTGATTCCTTGAAAGGATATTATTGACGGATAGTAATTACATTTCATCAAACCATATGACCACAGAGTATATATACACTTCAAATTAAAATATTTGCCCGAACAAACCGGCGACCGCCCTTGATTCAATTTGCGGATGGATTCCCCGAACGAGATACGCCAATACGTACTCTCGTAAATGACAAAATGACGTTGTCGCGCCGAAACTTTTCACGCTTTCAGCTTTGTTGACACGTGTTTTCGTGTCAATGCTTCTGAAGCTTTACGTGTATGTCTTTTATATTAAATGAAACTATGTTTATGGATTTTCTCTCTAGCCTTTAATAGTTAGGATATATTTGCGCAAGCTCTCGTCAATGTTTTTGTAACTTCACTAGCTGTCGAGTGACAACCGAAACGTCGCGTATTATAAACAACGAATTTTTTCATATTACATTTTTGAAGTTATTTTTCTTTTGGCGCGTTAGGGAAAAACGAAAAACGCGCACACCGAAACGAAAAATCGACACCCTGAAGTTAGCTAGACATCTACGTATGTTTCCATGAGAACTGACAACAGTATTAACGATATTTATTTTGTGATATTTAAATAAACTTTATTTAACTAGATAATGCGTTATAATAAAACTTTCAATGTATTAAATAGCTTTTTTTCTATTGTTTGTGTCGTTTTTTATCTTGTTCCGCTAAAGAAGTATAACTTCTAACGCGTGTATAAAGTGCACACGCATTTTTTATGTTATATATAATTTTTATATTATAGATAATTTCTTAAAGTAAAAGTCAAAGTATATTTATTCAATATAGGCGTAACTTAAGCTCTTATTGAACGTCAACAAAAAATCTACCACCGGTTCACTAAACTAGACCTGCACAAAGAAGAACCGGCAAGAAAATCTGCGGTCTTGTTCTTTTTGTTATTTTGTTATTTTTTTTTTTACTTAACTTGTAAATAATGATGATATGCAATTCTGGATTTAGGTCAAGAGGCAAAACACTTAAGAATATCTAAATGCAGGACAGTTAACAATAAAATGCATATAATGTTTATTAAAACATCAAATAAAACTCCGAGAGGAATTCGAGAAATGTGGCTCCATAATAAAATTATTATTAACAGTATTGACGATAATCAACAAATTGTTATGGAATGTTAATGAGATTAAATTTTGTTTCAAATTGATTCTAATTAACGAAATTTTTAATTTTAAAATTTGTATGTTTATGAGGTATTCGTATGCCAATGAGGCGAACTATGTATGTTTATGTTGGAAAACTTTATCAATCATATTTCTGCAAATGAAGATGATTTTATTCGATTTGATAAACTGTACTTGTAAACGACTTTGTTGTGATGTCGGAGAGGAGACCAGTGCACGCTTAATGGTTGTTACTAAAAGTTGCCTTGGAAAGTTATTTCATATAATTTTCATGTGCATTTTATAAATGAGAAGCGTCCCGAGAACAAAGAATAACCTCATCTTACAGCAAGGCTTGTTGTTGTCGGTGGATGTTTTGTCATTTTTATGTTTTGTAAAAGTATAGCATTATATAAAAAGCTCGATGCATAAAGTCGTCGTCCATTACATTTCTGGATTTAGAGTGCACCGTCATCGCGAGAGAACATTTGCCGTTGCTTTAAAGAAATCCGCGCATTGTTGTTAAAATACTTACCTTTTAATGTTTAACCTTTTTGCTATCGATATTTACTATTCAGGTCGTTCGAAGTTTTTAAAATAAACAAAACAGAAACATTTTTATGTGAGATGGTGGCAAGGATGTCTGCAGTTCACCTGAAGTTAACAGACATTTGCAGCACGCGTAGGGTTGCAGATGTGTTGTATAATATACTGGGCGCCTGCTGCCTTACTCACCAGACTAAACGCAAAAGAATATTTCCACTTCACGCCGGTCTTCTGTGAGGCCGTGCTATTTTTACCCGCCCATAGGACCTGCCCATGACAGACTGGCGTGGCCCTACCACAGTGAAAAACGTATTTTATATTAATTTTTTATTAAGTTGTAAGCTGTAAATGCGTCTCGGCAATCTTTAATATTAATACTTCATATTAGAAATTGGTGATGTACGTCTTTCAATCGTTTCGCTAGGTTCTGGTTATTGATTTTGATTGATGAAACGTCCAGTAGAGCGTATGCATAGGAACCTTTGACCACTAACTGATAGATCGGTCGCTGGAGAATCTCAATAGGGATAATTATAGCTTAGGCCCTTTGATGCATCAAAACACATATTGTGTATTGTCTATTTAGATGCCCAAAAGTTTGTGACTATGACAATATACTTTTTGGTTTTTGTATATTACTAATGCTGAGAAATTATTTAACTGAACCATGAAGTGATGGTGTTTTTGAAACGAAGAGCGCATTGCATTGATTTCAAAACGTATTAATATTTATATTATATTGTTCGTTTGAATGAACTAATAAATCTGAAAAAAGTACGGCAATAAAGAGCGCTTGCATCAAGCAAAGTGCGTTACACCAAATTTTATGCCAGCCCTCCATCTGTGTTCTTTATTAACATAGAACGAGGTTGACGCTAAAATGAAATATTTACCTTATTATCTGTTTAATTTCTGGTACAAATACAAATGACGTAACTGATTTTAGGATTAATTACCATTTTTAGTGCTTGTCACTTAAAATGAAACCAACAAAAATTTTCGGCGCTGCGGGACTGAAACCTGCGTCTACTGGTTTCCCGCTTAATCTACTAAACTAATCGGCCGATAAAGTCACGGCACGAAAACCTTGTCATCTATCTACGTTCTTTCAATTTCAATTTTAGCAATGTTTGTGGCGCCATTTAGTGTGCTGTTTTTACAGCATATAACACCTTACAAAGAATATTCAAAGATGAACATTTGTAACGAGAAATGTCGCCATTGCTTTTAAAATTTCAGCATCAATTTTTTTAATGCTAGTCTCCGCACTCAACAAAAACCAGAAGACGAAGTTTAGAATCCCGCAGCGCCGAAAGTTTATGTCCGTGTATCTACAAAAATTTACAATTGGAGGTAACCGTTGTTTGGCATCGAACTTAGAACCCGTGCGATGACCCCCGCCACCGACGCATCTGGTCGAAGAGCAAATGGTGCGAAACGCTGCCTCGGGTGCTGGTCATCGGTCCCCAGAAGACCGGCAGCACAGCGCTGTACACCTTCCTCTCGATGCACCCGGCTCTGGTAGCCAACTTGCCCAGCCCTACCACCTACGAGGAGTTGCAGTTCTTCAACAACAACAACTACTTGAAGGGCCTTGACTGGTAAGTGAAAACGTCGATACTTACAGCGATTGTCATACAAAAAAAACATAGAGTTTAAATACAAAAATAAAAATTAGCCTTTTTAGTACATAGACAGACTACCTACTAATCTTCTAGAAAAAATATAATTGTATTGAGATTTTTTACAAATACTTTTTATTCAATGTCTATAATAATCTTGAAGAGTTCTTTTATCACCGATTAAGAAAGTCCGTCTCAATAAAGTGGTAAAATACTACATTGACAATACGATCCGAATGGGGGTAGTTGGTGGGAGGGTGTGGGTTCGATCCCCACTACTCGATAAATGTTGTGTGATGAACAATAGTATTTTTCTAGTGTCTGGGTGTTAATATATGTATAATATGTATTTATTTATAAAAGAAAAGTATGATTAAGTATGTTTATCAGTTTTCTAGTACCCATAGTACAAGCTTTGCTTAGTTTGGGACTAGAGAATGTTGTGTAAAAATGTGTCCTAAGATATTTTATTTTTTTTATTTTTTTTTATTTGTACCGTCGTCATCATAACTTTGGTACGTTACTCGATTATGATCGAAGACCATAACAATTATTTGCTTTACTCCGTCCAGGTATCTGAACTTCTTCCCGGCCAGTCTGGGCAACTCCACTCAGATGTCGTTCGAGAAGTCGGCCACTTACTTTGACGGCGAGCTGGTGCCGAGGCGCGCCCACGCTCTTCTGCCGACGGCCAAAATCATCGCAATTTTAATATCGCCGTCCAAGAGGTGAGTGTTTCTGCTAAACGCCGTGAAGGAAAACATATTTTCTTTGCAAAACGAAATACAAAAATATCTCTCATTCTCTTTAAAATGACTTCAAAAGCGAGATATACGAGGCGGTATATATGAAGCGTTTTTCTAATAAAATATCAAGTACATAACATTTCTGTGAAATGCCTGAACCGGTTTTGTTTTTAATTAAGTGGTCTTAGTCTTGTTCGCTATCCCACCCAGAAAGTTTTATTAAACAGTTTATTGTATTGTTATTTTTTTAATGTTTTCAAGTCATAGAGTTTAATACAAAAGATTTTTACCATAATAAAAGACAACTCTTTAACTGTTTATTGTTATTGAAATTAGTCCCGTAAGTCCTGGGATTTAGTTAATATGTGTATTTAATATTCGTGGAAAGGTAAGATACCATTACATTATTTTAAGTTTTTATCTACGTCATTTCGTTTTTTATGCATGCAGAACACTTCTTTATTATCAGTGATTCTATGTAAGTCTTGTAATGAATGTAATGTAAATCTGTAATTGTCTTTCACATCAGAATAAATGGCTATTATAGCTAATAATCATTATTCTTCTACCCTTAGGTGGAACATATGAATCATTTTGTAGGTGGTTTTTTGCTAGGTTTTTTTAAGAACGTCCTTTCTTGGGAAGAAAACAACCAGATCCGGAACATTTATCTGTCACACAAATACTTGTCCCGTGTGGGAATCGAACCCACGACATCCGGCACCCAATTTAGTATCTAGCAAATGTGCAACTGATTCGTCAATTAATAAAACAAATTATGCATTATAATAATGGTTTGGACACGCATCGACATTCTCAGTTTTTGGGCTATCTATTCCTCTGAGGAATTTCATTTATGTTCATCCTCCTTAGGGCGTACTCGTGGTACCAGCACATACGCTCTCATGGGGATCCTGTTGCCAAGAACTACACCTTCCACACGATCATCACCGCAAACGACTCCGCCCCAAAAATGCTCAAGGACTTAAGGTGAGACCCCTAGTTAAATGTATACCTTTAATAGGCATATAAGAATTTGCCCTATGGGTTAGAACACAGAAATTTTAATATATATTACGCTGTTTGCGTGCCTAATAAAAAAATGTAAGACGGTTTGTTTGATGCACATAAACCATCCGAATACTACTACTACTTCCTTACCGTTATTAGCGTGTTGTAAGCGTTCATGCGCTCAAGCGTTGGCTCACATAACCGATTTTGTTAACAAATGTTCGCTCGCATAACGGACATCTGAGCACACCGCTGACGTTATTGTAGCTTATTGCCGCAGGCGGTCGGGCTTTCAGCTCGTCCCTTCTGATGTCTAGCCCAGTACATCGAAGGCACTCAAATTGAGAGGACTCCTTTTTTACCTAGGCATCCGAATAAATTATTACACTAATGATTCTTTTTTTATGTGAAAAGTAGAGTAGAGAAAGAAGTTTTTTATGTATACCAAGAGAGCGACGGTGAGTCGGTTCAAATGATGTTAAATGCCCATGGACCTCTGCTACACACAAGGTTGTTTCCTGTTGACAACCCTTTGAAAATTGGCCTCCGGCTACCTCACTCACCGGACGAAACGCGAAAGTATTATACTTCCACCTCACGCCGGTGTTCTGTGAGGTCGTGGTACTTACCCGGACGAGTCTGCCCATTCGTGCAACAACAGCAATTGCTGCGCTGGCTCCACCACAGACTGACTGTTGCGCGTAAGACATCCGACCGACGCGAGAATCGTGCAAATCATTGTGATTTGAATATTAAAGTCTGGCACCAATAATATCACACCGGAATAATGGAGCGCACCCAGCGCTAACATCTCAAGATATTTTCCATTCCCATTGAGCTCCCGACGAAATGAGGCTGACGTCCATTCTTGTGCGCAGATTGATGTGCTGCTGCGCCATTTTGCAGCGCATTCATAAAGCCTGTTATAGAAATGCAATATTATTACAATCGCAAGTTTGCCGCTTTAAGGTTTACTTTTTACGTTTATGGAAAAAAATAAATTACTGTTATGTCTGGACGTGATTTCAAAATTGCCAGAGTGAAATGCATTATTTTTCCGATGCCTAATAATGAACCATTTTTTTTTTTTATTTTAACCTTTGAAAGTTTGTGGCCGAACAGGCTAAGAAACAGCTTTACGTATATTTCAATGACTACTATTTGGTTTGAATCAAACAATGTAAGCGTAAATTTTCGTGGCGATTTTGTTAATTTCAATGCCAGGGTACAGAACATGCGAACATAACTTTAACACATTTAAGCTTTCATCATCATCATCATCATTTCAGCCTGTTTGAGTCCACTGCTGAACATAGGCCTCCCCCATAGACTGCCACGAAGTATGATCCTGAGCCACCTGCATCCATCGACTTCCCGCACACTTGCACAGGTCGTCACTCCATCTAGTGGGGGGCCGTCCCATACTGCGATGGCCAGACTCGACGACTTCCAGTCTCCCGAACAAGCCGGATTCCGAAAAGGCTTCAGTACCATAGACCACATACACACCTTGCGGCAGATTATACAGAAGACCGAAGAGTATAATCTGCCTTTGTGCCTAGCTTATGTGGACTATGAGAAAGCCTTCGATTCTGTCGAAATTTGGGCGGTACTCCAGGCTCTTCAGCGGTGCCAAACTTAAGCTTTATTTTAAATTTATTGACCCATGAGGATGAAGTCACAGGCTAGTTGCTGACATAAGCCAGTTTGCTAATTAAAGCTTACTTCTTCCTAGTAGCCCTCAGACGAACGTTACAAAACTATGCGTACATAGCAAAGCAATTAAATAGCGTACTTTTCACATGCAAATGCTAATCGTGCGCTACTGTCTTCGAAGTTAGCAGGTCTTTGTGGCACTGTATGTATGCCAGCCCTTACACCATTCCCCCTCCCCATTCCGTTCATTCGCACAATGATTCTCAAAATTGTAATTTTTTAAAAAGCGATCGCGTAACAAATACGGGCCTCAGTGTAGGGAACAAATAAAAAAAATACGCGTAACCTCCAGCGGATAACGTCCGATCCGTTTGTCAACTCTTCTGTGTACATAATTCCGCTTCCAAAACATTTTGCTCGAACAGCTAACAGACTCTTTCATGCTTTTTCGTACTGTTTTTAATGGTCAATATTCAAACCCAGTTAACCGTTTTGTGCTATATTTTGAATAACGTGATTTTTTTTCACGGCTAGGTGTACCAAGAGTTTTGGTTTGTTTTACGTAACCTACATAAACAACGCCTCTGATGTACTTTAAAGTAAAACCCCGATTTTAATAACGGATGAAATTAATTTACATCTCTTAAACATATCACATCGTATCGTCTTAAACGTATAACATCTTTAATTTTCTTTGAAAGTTCTTATTACTCTACATAAATTATAATTAGAGAAATGAGGTGAATTGCACAGAGTGCGAGCACAGATACTTAGTTGAATTACCGCGTGGACTAGTTCTCAGTGCATTTAGATGCTGTGTCAAAACCTAGATTAGGAACAGTCAGTTTCTACCTAGGGACAATACAAAGTACTTGGATCTCCCATGAATGTTTCGTGTTCTCGAGAATACCTTTTACTTTTGCATTTACAATTTACATGAAAGTAAATTTCAACGCCAGAAATTTATCATCTTCGTAAAGTATTACGATAATTAATGTTTATACCTCATAAGTCTATAGAAATCCCATCAGCAAAGTTCTCGCGTATTTAATGCCTCAAGATATAAAATAGCATATCAAAGTCAGTCAAAACTAAACATCGAAGTTGTGTCTTATACTTTATAGCTTTGAGTTCGTAATACACGCGTAAACAGAAGTTGACAAATAACTTTAGGAACGTACCTGCCCTACCTTATTATAAGTTTAATATTTAATTTAGCTAAGTATAACTTTTTGAAAGGTATATTTAACTTGTAAACATTCTAATTGGATGAACTCGTAACGTAAACTAGACCCAATATCAACTACTAGAAATTCATTCGCGAACTTCCATTTAACTTAACTTATTAAGTTTTTTTTTTGGGTAGGCATTTGTGATCGACGTTAAACAGTGAAATCGAGTTTCTATAACTTGTGAAGCATCATGTTTAACATGTTACTCTAACCTTTTCGCTTAGGAACCGATGCCTGAACCCGGGTAAGTACAGTCACCATCTCGAGCGCTGGCTGGCGGAGTACAGTGCGCACCAGCTGCACGTGCTCGACGGCTCCCTGCTACGCGCCGAGCCGGCGGCCGCAATGAACGCCCTACAAAAGTTCCTCAAGCTGACCCCTCACGTCGACTACAACAAGTTGCTCAAGTGAGTTCAAACATCGATTCGAAGCATCATCACTTTAGACTGTTCGAATTAAACCCCTCCCCCTCCTCCCCCATAGACCGGCACTTGTATTTATCTCGTCCCCACACATTTGCCCAGGTCATCACTCTATCGAGACTCGGTGCGTTATCAACTGAGTCGACGGGCCAAAAATCATTTCTTTTATGTCCGTCTCGCTCGCACTTATAGGTCTTATGGAGCCGTATAGTGCATAAGGCGATTTTGATCAATTAAACTTTAGGAGCAACAGTGACATCTCTTTTTTTTTAAACATTCTTTGTGAAAATGTCATTAGACAGTGTTTGCTGTTAAGTAAATATAGTGTTGCTCCGAGTATTGGTAAAACTGCAACAAAAACAAAGTAGACTTAGTGGCTTCAGCATTTGGGCGCGTTACCCGGAAAACGCAGGTTCGAATCCTTACAGCGGAAAAATTTTACACATTTGAAATTGAGATTTAGTTTTTTTTTTTTTTTAACCAGACAAGCAATTACTTTACGCAAAATATCTGACATAATATAACGTTGCGTGTCTTGCCATCAATGAGGCCTCACATGAAACCGAGCACCGAGAGAAAAAGTCAGTTTCGTAAATCGTGTAACCGTTTAAAGTAATTATATATGAATAAATAATTCAGCTGCCATTTGGATGTGATCGAGGCGGTTGTCTTTATTCCCGAGCTAATTTGGGTCACACCACACGTACAACAACACACCGACAACAATGAACTTCGAGCCGGGTTTCGGACACGGATCGATTGGGAGGCAGATCATCAAATTACCCGACAACAGTCGCTGAAATACAACACGAAGCTATTGTCTTACCAATATACCAGATCGTTATTAAGTTACCTGCCGCATAATCAATCATTAGCATACATACATATTACTGCCTGTCGTGTCCGTATTTGATTTAACTTAATCGTATACGCTATGCATATATGTATACTTATATACTTTCTTATTAATGATACAAGAAACCCGTATTGAGCTCTTTTGTCGTGGGGTTATTTAGAGCGACGCGACGGTGTAATGTGTCTTTCTATGCACAGAGACATTTTAGGCGAATGGCTTTTACGTTTCGGCGCCAGGCGAATTTTCGCTTTGGGTAAAAATTCTCTTTGTGCAGGGTCTTTTTAGTGCTTAACGTGTGTAACCATAAACAGTTTTTTGAGCAATGACGAAAAAATACCATAGTTTTACGTTACCTTCGTTCCATATGACGCATTGAAGCTACATTTTGTCGGTTAGTTTCTCTCCATTCCGTTTACAAACGAATAAACGCGTAATTTGTATGACTCATTATTATTACGTTTAATTGTAAGTATCACTTTCGTTTGATAAACAAAATAAGGAATATGTAGATACAAATTCTAACAATACAACCATTTCATTCATTTTCGGATTACATCGAAAATCCTTACTTTTATATTAATTATGGGTTTTTATTTTTATCAGTGTGTTTTCATCTCACACTGTTTATTTTTCATTTTATGTGAGTTTGTATGAAACTGAAAAACCTATGCCTGTTTACTCAATAAAAACAGTTCCGAGGTCGACAAACATTTACTGAAGAGCGATTTGAACAAAAATTATCAAACACTAATGAAATACCGTGGAGATGAATAAATATTTTGGCTTAGTAAAATAATACAGTTAAAAACGTTATATAGTTTTTTCTCATTGCAAACATTATTCTGTATTTAAAATAAATTTCTTAATTATGTGTCTTAGTCTTATTATGTGAGCCATTTTCATAACCAATCAAAGTAATCAGAAATAAGCTCCGTTGCAGTTTAAATATATTCATATAGTTTTTACATACCTAACTTATAAGCATTATGACATTCATGACTTGACCTTTTTCTGATAATCTATAATCGTCTTTCTCCCATTCAAACAACAATCTTTCATCAATCATTATGACCATGCCATTTATCACGTCCTTCTTTTTAAGTTGGTTAAAAATAAATACGACCTATGTTACAACTGCCTATCCTCTACACAGGAATAGGCCCATCAAACAAAAGACATTTCCAATAAGCTGCTATATCGATCACCGTTTACCAAGCGGGCAGTTGTGAAGCCTTAGATTAGTTTACCTATTATAATAAACAATCAGCTATCTGAAACGGCGCTATCTTGTTTTCCAGGTACGACCCGAAGAAGGGCTTCTTCTGCCAGGTGACGAGCGGAGAGAAGACCAAATGTCTCGGCAAGTCAAAGGGCAGGATATACCCGCCGATGGAGGAGCGCTCCGCCAAGTTCCTCAAGCGCTACTACACGCCGCACAACGCGGCGCTGTCGAAGCTGTTGGTGCGCCTGGGCAGGCCGGTGCCGCAGTGGCTGAAGGACGAGCTCTCGAACGGATAGCACGAGAAGGTGCAGCCCACGCGGCGAAAGGAGTTCGCGCATAGACTACTCGGCGTCTGCTGGGCCGCCGTGCCTTGAGCCAGTAGTCTGGACTGGCTCACTGGGCGCCATCAACCGCTGTCTCAGTGCCCAGAGCCAGTAATCTCGACTGACTCACTGGGCGCCCTCAGCCGCTATCTCAGTTTGGTTGCCGCGCCCTGAGCTAGTAGTTTCGACTGGCTCATAAACGCTCTCAGTCTCAGGGTCTGCTTGGTCGCCGTGCTCTGAGCCAGTAGTCTCGACAGGCTCATCTGTCTTCAAACGCTCACTGGATACGGTGTTCCGAACGAAACGTTTCTAGAGTGCTCCGATATAGACTAACAATCGACGGTCTCGCCCAACGACTAATATATTATGTGAATTGTCAATAAGTGATGTTAAAACGGTCTGCATGTTTTATAGTTAGTGTATGGGGTGTTTTTGGTTTTTATCCGTCAAAAGACGAGGTTTTTAACCGCCAATAGGCCAGGAATTGAGTGTGCGATGTAAGTCACGTGTTAATTTGCTTGCCCACACGTCCGCTCTTAGCCATTCGGCCGCTCTGTTGGACGCAGCTGCCCGAATATGTTTATATAGTTCGTTTAGTAAATTATTGTTATTTTTTAATGTAAAGCGGAGAGTTTCTTACGACGAGGCAAATGATCGAGCTTTCATTGTTCATAGTGAATGTAAGCGTCTGTTATTGGACATAGTTAAGAGAGGGTATGTTTCTCATTCCATGCGGCGGCTCAATCACGCCGGTGTTTATAAGTATTTGTTTTTTTTTTCTTTAAATACGATGTTCGTACCTGACAATTGTACATTCTTAGTTAGTTTCGTACGCTCCCGGTGGGGGGTCCCCGAGCGCATAGTTAATTTAACTTCTCAAAAATCACAGTGCCATATGAAGTGGTCATAATGCGAACGGCACTAAACATTGTCTTTTGATTGTGTACAACACGCTAGTCCTTAACGTAAGCTATTTCATACTTTTTCCATCTCCGAATCGACTGGAATACAATTTACAATCGTTTTGAGTACAGTGGGATGAAACGGAGTTGTATTATTTTTATTAGAAAATTTACAGTTATACACTTAACGTTTGAAATTGTGCAGCTATTGAATTTTTCTAAGGGTGGGGGCAAACATTGTCATTAATGCGAGTAGATTAGATGATCGTAACTGTTATCTGTTTATATGTAATAAATATTTATTCAAGTCAATGTATTGATATAACATGGCCTTACTGCGCGTATTATGCATAGTCTGTTCCCACCATTTAAATATACATGTTTTTTTGCAATAAATTTATAAATAAATTTTTAATATTAATATATGTTCGTATACTATAAAAATCAATGCAAATCGCTGTATGTGTTAGTACTTAACAAGAGTTTCTTTTTTTCACACAAAATAATAAAGATAAAAAATCTATGAATTTAATTTTAATTTTTGTTATTTATACACTGTATATTACTATCCCATCTGATTAATGCTTAGTTTCCAATTTCTTTTAATATGTTCAAAATTAATTATTCTTTAGAATCGAATCAATTTTAACGTATTTACCGTTAATGAATTAACAAAATGTGAATATATTATAATGAATCTATATAAATGGCCTTACTTTAATTATTACAGTGTTGCAATAATGTTATTCGATTTATATGGATTAAGTATTGTCATTACATTATATTGTACAGTTAAAGAATTGTATGGTGTTTTATTTACAACTTTATTGGTACGATACTCTAATACTAAGCATTTGGCAAATGCTATATCTATTTCACGAAGGAAATACGTCCGTTTTTTTTTCGTTGTAAAATCATTATATTTAGGATATTTTAAGTTGAAGTAACTTCGAAAAAAAGTTGAAAAAAAATAAAAATCATATTTATGTAGTTGTATAGAATTTGAACTGTCTCTGTAACAAAATCCAATTTTTATTTCAATATACTTGATGAATTCTTTTGTGATAACCTTTGTCATGTTGCCAAATAATTTCAAAACAATTGTTAAATTTAATATATAAAATATATTTAATGTGTACAGAAGATTAAAAAAATTAATAGCGTAATAATGTCGCTTTATTAGTTAAGTCGTTTAAAAGTTTTTAGTTAATTCGTCTTGAAACTATTTGGCTCACAATGACACGTTTCTTTTAACCTCTGACAATGTGTTTCTCAATTTAAAATGCTCTTGAAATGTGTCCTTTATAAAATTAATAACATCACTTATTTTTATTAAATGATTTTAAAGTGTCTACTTTTATTTACCTCGTATTTCTCTTAATGTACTCTTCCATGCATGTAGTTTATACCTGTTAAGAAATTGTTTATTGGTGTTGATAATCACTTTTTGGCACCTCCCACATAATAATCTTTATAACAATTCTTTCGCTTCAAAACGTGAGCAAGTTTGATCGAATTTTTAGATAGTTGTGATGCTCTTAAATTTTAATTAATGTTTAAACATTTTTTCTAATCTACGTGATGAACACTGATTTGAAGGCTCTGTTAGTATTCTACAGTATATGTCTTATCTATGGTATTCTATGACGAGATAATGTTGCCAGTTTGAAGTTTTTGCAAAATAATAAACCCATTAATTTCGCTTTTGGGCAACCACATCACGTAGCTGGCACCACTGAAATTATTTTTAGGTGAAATTTCAAATGTCTATTAACCCTGTGCTGGGCTTTGAGGGAAAACTAAGGATGATCCAATTGTAAAAAAATATAAATCTAAAATTTTCATTCTACCTTCACTTTTAAAGAATGCTAGACTTCCCAAGAAAGATCTTCTAGAACGGCTATAGTTTCAACTGGATTGGTCAGATTCTTCGACTAGGGTCCCGCATATTTATGTAATTTGTTAGGGTTCAACTGTAAGTTTTGTACGCCGCAGTTGGATTACGTTTCATACTCTGATAACAGTTTCAATAGTGGTCAAAACAGTTCTTAGAAGCTTAGTTTCGGGCTTAGTTTAGTGCTCAATAGCGAAGATTGACTATAGACATACCATCATCATAACGTCTGGGTGTAATGTATATGGGCGAAACCTTCGTCTGATCCGGTATATTTTCCACGCGGCGAACTATGATGCGTGATTGGTTTCTCTTTTATAAAGGGACGCAATTACATGATTAGGCTGTCACCACTACTACACTTTTCAGATTTCTGTTCATTTATCCTATTCACTGTCCATCTGTGGATAATTTGCCTATGTTAACTATATGAAAACAGAAATAAATATATTGGTAGGTAAACACCAGCCGCAAAGTTTTAGAGGAAAGTGCACAGAGTTTGACGCGGAATACATAATCACACGTTCACGTGTGATCAACGTCACCGTTGTGGGATTTGGCTGCTACTAAACGGGTCGCCGTGCCGCACTGCATTGTATATTACTTTAGCTCCTCATTCCCCTTCCTTTGTTTTAAAGGGATCAAGCCAAAAATTTAATTTATCTAGTAGCACCATATAGTAGATGAATTTATATAATAAATGTAAAAAAGCAATCAAATATATTTCCTTTGTTCGTCATGCACTGGGCTGATGTTTATACACAAAATAATATGAGAGAGCTTAAGCGTAGCATAATCCATCTACAAATTGATTTTGAACGAGTAATTAGATTATCTAGAGGAGAGGGTCGCGCTTCGTGAGCGTGAAAATTGCTATCTTCATTTTAACAATGACTTTAATGAAAACAAGGTAATACTTTTAATGAAATAGTAGAACTTGCATGAACCACAATATAAATGTACGATTGACTGTGTGCAACAAATACACTTCTGAAAAATCTGTTCCACCTTCACTTAAAAAAATATTCTGAACTGAAATTGATTTGTTCTCTTTTTTTTTTTTTTTTTTTCAATTTTTGCCCTAAAATCTTTTAAACTGTATCCTAATCACCCGAGTCAATAATTTGTAGTTTTATTATCAAAGTTAAAACATGCATAATACAATCTATTCACTCAAAAGCTTATAGTGATCGTGATAAATCTTTTATAAGGTACACTCTAAATATCCTCACAAATATTAACTAGTTCGTGGTTAAATAGGTGTTCCTGAAGCACTACGTCGGGCAAGTTTCACGGATAACCGAATTATCGCTGCGTTGTCATCTGACTGTACATACCCATAGTTAAAGACAAAAGCCTTTACAAACGCTCGTTAACTGTACGTGGCAGATTAACCATGAATGTTATTTCTTATTCCTTTATAGATATTATGTTGATTTTCAAGGTACATATTATATATACATATTATATAACGTGTTAAAAATGATTCTATTTCCGTCTTTTGTAGCGTGAAGTAGAAGCATCAAACTTGTCATATAATAATGTCCCATTATAGCGAAAAAAACAAGGCCCAAGCAACAATTCGCGAGCTTCACAAATCTTGGTGAGGAATGTCCACACTGTCCACATGTGCTGATAGCGTTCAACGATAAGTATATTTCGATCGTTAGGTACCTAATACTCGCCTACGATCATGTCGAAACCAATACACCGCGTACACAAGCCATTAACGGACTATGGTGGGTTGTTCTAACCATGGCACGATGGTGACGCTGACGTTGCATTTTGATCCAACGTAAACCGTTAGTAGAATAACCTTGGTGTCGTAGCTAAACGTATTTTAGTAAATATTTATATAAAATTTTTACATATTTAATGCTTAGAAATAAATAAAAACATTTCTTCGTTTATTTTCATTTGGATTTTTATAATACAAACTATTGATTCGAAATATCTGAAATAGGACTTGCGAAATTCCTATACAGTGGATTTTACTGGCAACTTCCTTTTAATAATAGATTCAGTTACTATATCATATTTGTAATAATTAATAATAATAGAAAATATTTTAAGTAGAGCAAAGTTAAAGGTTAAAGTACAACATACTTAAATTTTTAGACTTTATTTAGAATTTTCGGTTTAATTTAATTCTTAGTGCTAGTCTCTGCTCTCAA